CCCAGCTTTCCAACTCACTTTGGAATCCAATAGAACTGCCCACGGAGGTCTGAAGAGCTCTATTGTAAAACTGCCTTCATCAGAACAAGGGCCCACAATCAACATGCACACACATGGCTCCTTGGTGGCAATGAAGTTGACCTTCTTTTCTGTAACACGACATGACACAGCCCAGCACTGTCATCACTGTCAAGCCATGCCAGGTTCTTCAGTCACATTCACTTTGAACTCATCTTACATGTCATCTTCATCCTCCAGTACAACTCTCGGCCCTGAAATTCACTGCTCCCTTGGTTTTCGGAATCACAGCCTCAACCTCCATTTTTCCACAAGTCAGCCCCACATACCACCTTTGCTCATGGTCTCCCACAGCAAATACTGACCACAGGGCTGCAGAATGCTGAAAACACGGGAGGAAAATAGCTGTTTCCTTCAAAGACGAACTACGGAGCCCTTTCCCAGTTCTGCTTGCTTCTGGCTAACACTGATGAAGCATACACATAGATGACCCCTGTGTCTAATAGCCTTCCACACAGCTCAGGGGACTTACTGGGTTTAATCCTCAGCACCATTACTAATCCTGACATGCAGTACCACATTGGAGTCATAAGGGACTAACAATGAGATCTCTAAAGCAACAGGACTGGATGGAATTTGACCCATGCAACAGGAAGACAGAGCTGTGCACTGCCACTGTTACACACTTCCGGGTGGCAGTGGGTGGTTCTTGCAGTTATTTCCAATGTGACTCCAGAAAATAAAGCAGAAGATGAAAAGTGGGAAGCCAGATAGATTCACGGTGCTAAGCCCCAGATTAAATGCTAGAAACACTCTAGGGATGGACTTTGAGGGAGGATTAGAAATAAGCATAGTAGGTTCACTTAGATGTTAGGAAATCTAACAAAAAGAGCTGCGAGGCCAGAAAGATTAATAAAAACAGCCAAGCAGATAAAATACACAATTGCCTTTAATGTACAAATGTGGCAAACGAAGTAAAAATTCACCACATATGGAAGATTATTAACTTCCAAGATTATGTCAACTGCACCGACAGCAATTGGTACTGCTATTGTACCCATGCTAGTACTGTGACCTATTTCAATATTCTAACAGTGATGACATTCTGGGATGTTATTATCTATCAGTCTGTCTTTTCTCCCAAGTTTTAATAACTAGGAAAAGTTTATGCATCACCCAATTTTAAGGAATTTGAAAAATGAGTCCATGTTCTCTATGTTTCAGCAATAATTAGCATGTATTGGGGACAAGTTGAGATGTGATCTAGTATTAAAAATTTAGAAGTCCTGTTTTGGAGGGGAGATTTCCCTAAAAGCTTCTGAAAGAAATTAAAAAGGAAATGGAAAAGTTTATTTTAATCAGTTCTCCAAAATGGCATAGAGCGAAGAGTGAAAAACTTTAATAATTCTGCAAAGATCAAGGTGGAGAAAGCTTTAATATTTAGAAAGTGTTACCATAGAGTAGAAAATGAATCGTGGAATACAAAATTCATTTTAGGTGGATGCAAATAGATGTATCCAAGCATGTAAAAATTCAAAGTTGCACAAGAGACAAGATGACTTTTTGTAACGCTTTTAAATTCTAATCCCTGCTACAAAATCAAACTGGAGCCTGAATTTTGAGACAGCTCTTATCTTGGCATCTATATGGTGACAACACTATATACGTCGTCAACACTACCTGTTTTATGACCCACATGTCCACTCTCAGGTGAGTTTTTACTTCAATCAAAGCCTTGCAGGTTTTCTAGATGCACGAATTAAGCCTCCTTTACTTTAAACCGATGAGACAGACAGAGACAGAGAGCAAGGTCATCACTACCTTCTCTATACTCCCAGCAATGAGTACATTCCCACTTCCATCGTATAAGTTCAAAAATACCAAGTATAATGAACTTTACACGCCATTAGCAATTCATTCCCTGATAAGAAAAATTGCATTAGTCAGAAAGAGTTGGTCGGCTTTTGTTCCATTATCACATGATAATTATAATGCATATCTTTAAGAGCATACGCTACAAAATGAACTCCTTATCACCCCACAGCAAGCATAGGCTTCTGGTTTAGGACTCAGTCTTTTCTAGACAACAGTGACCTTTTCATTGCTTGGGAAATTACATAAAGTATGAGAAACAATTACAAGAAAATAGAAGTTATGCATATCCTTAGAGTTAAACATGTAGACCTATTTATCTTTCCTGCTTAGAATCATCAATGATTCTAGCCATTACTCTTTCCTGCCCATCAGCTATATGTGATTATGTGAAGTAAATAAGACACAGGTTACCTAGAGACAGAAATACACGGTACAACTCCCTGAAGTTGTCATCCATAGGTGGAACATTTCAGTGGTGTACTTGCTCCTACATCACCCATGTTCCCAGTGCAGTGATATGAAAAGTTCCACCTCACACTAACGTGTGACTGACTCCCCAGTCCTTCCCTCCCCTCTTCCTCACACTAAGCCTATCCATTGACTCTAACTGGATCTACGATTAACACTCTGCTCTCACTGTGTGTTGGAGATCAAACCAGGTGCCCGGAGCACTTGGACTCACGGCTGCACTGCTAAGCTGTGAAGGGAAAGAAAAACACTTCAGTCCTTCTGCAAACCAGAGCTGCTTGAACTTTTAAATTATTCCAACTGAAAGAATATGAGTAATGTCAAATAACAATGTGAAAGACCTGACACCCAGGAATGACAAGGAGGACAGCATCTGTAAACAAAATTTAAAAAGTCCAAAAATTTGAACACACCATTGCCATCCCTATTCCCCCAGCAAGACGAGGGTAATTGGTGTGACCCATCATAAAAATAATGCTGAAAATCTCATGTAGGTTCCGCCATCATCCACTTCAGAATTCCATATCATAGTGATCCAGAATTCATAACACGGTCCAAGAAGTTAATATAATGAATGAAGGAGCAAGCCCAATATTAGGTAACAGTGATTAGAAATCTACCTCAAGGTAATTACCAGATAATTTAAATACTATTATCACTGTGTTGTCTAGACTAACCACGTGGTTTTCAAATGCAAATAAGAAACATATCCAATGAAAACCATTTTAAGGTATAACTTTCAAGAATATTTATTCCAAAGACTTAAAAAGAAAAAGCCAAAGTAGCCAAAATTGCCCATTTTATTACTTAAAGTGGAAGATTAGTGAAGACTTAATGGAAACTTGGGAGCAATCAGCAAAGCTGATAGGAGGAGAAGGTAATTAAGGTGAATGAGAGGAAAGAAAATGACTCTTGAGTCAGCACAAACCTGAGACCTTTGTAAATTCCCAGTAAAGAAGGGAGTGAGAATGTAGGCTGTAAAAGAGCCACTGTGTCCTGGTTTCGACCTTGTCCTAAATAAGCCGGACTACCTGCCTCTGCTACCACATAGCTGCTCTTATTTTTCTGCAGGAAATAGCCATACAAAAAAGCGGTAATCGTCGGTTATCTTCCCAAGTATACCATGAGTCTGCACTTGAGTTTCCCAGCTATGGCTGCTTCCCTGCTGCTGGCAGTGGTCACCTCACAAAATCCTGTTTCATACACAATAGGGAGGCATCACCTATTTTTGCAGAATCTGCAGAGCATTTACTGAAGCAACTGGCACCGAGGAATTAAGTAGAAGTTCCAGGTTGTACAAAGAACAGGTGGGTGCCGGGCAAATACGTTTTGATCCATTAATAACTGAGAACAAAACGCCACAGGTAAAATAAAAATCACTGTTAAGCACCCCAGGCCAAAAAAAACAAGCTTATTTTTTAAATATCACATGACAACATTTGTATCTGCTTCTATGTGATGCTTTGTATATACTCTTTCTTATTTTATACTACATACCTTTTGTTCATTTATTCAGTTTAACTATGAAGCCTTTTACTAAACATCTCAATTTCAGACATGATTATCACAGAAATCTTAAGAAACAGAGGCTTTCACGCCTTCGGTGGTGTCTGTGACTTCTGCCACTAGGAAGCTGGAAGAACCACAGGCACTTCAACTTGCTAAAATGAGCCAGGACAGATTCTGCACACTAAAACCAATAGGATGCTGTTGAAAAACCCAAATCAGTTTTTCTCATCTACAAGATTTTTGGAGCTTCCAGAGGATCCTGTTACATCTTACTCTAGACGCAGGAAGATGGCCCAGCTCACTGCTAGAACATAATAAAGGTTCTATGACCTGTGAAAAACTGTGATCCTCACTTCATAGTAAGAGTCCTGAAGCTCAGGAGCAGTGAGAGCAAAGCTTATTTGCTTGACCCTTGTGATGTCAGGAGTCAGACTAGAGACAGGGAAAAATGGCTAGTGTTCCATTTTGGATCAAAACTGTTCTTTGCAGTCCCTGATTGAGAAGTGTTCCTGCCCTCTTTCTCTCATGGCCATGACTCCAGAGAACCATGATCTCTCCTGCTTGCCTAGCTTAGTCCCCATCCTGAATTCCGTACCCTCATGGGGATCAAGATCCACCCCTTTGTAATTTGCTGGTTCAGTCATGTCTCAAATTGTCTATAACTTTTCAAGCCGAGATAAGCGACAGAGCACGTGGGAGAGAACATCCTGCCATCTAGACAGAGAGCACAGGGCCCTGCGGTCACCTCGTTATCTGTGATTCACTGTTGAGCTTTCAGTGCACCTCTTACTGAGAAAGGACTGTCTTAGGGTCTCTATTGCTGTGAAGAGACACCATGACAAATGTAAAACTTCTCCTTGGGACTGGCTTATAGTTCAGAGGTTTAGTGCATTATTATCAGGGCAGGAAGCTTGGTGGCACGTTGGCAGACATATGCTAGAGAAGAAGTTCTACATCTGGATCAGCAGGCAACAGGAAGACAGTGAAACACTGGGCCTCGCTTGAGCTTCTGAAACCTCAACCCCATACTGCCAGTGACATTTCTTCCAGCAATGCCACACCTCCTCCGACAAGGCCATACCTCATAATCCTTTCAAATAATGCCAATCTCTGTGAGCCTACAGGGGAGCCATATTCATTCAAACCTCCACATGCACCATGGCGATTTATTACAAACTCTAGTACAGGATGCTGACATGGCCTTAACAGTGAATATGGAACCATTCTGACACTAGGCCTTGCATCAGGTATTGATCACTTTTGTCACACAATCTATGTTTCTGGGTTTGCTTAGAATAGCTTTTTTCTTATGTAGAATATAATTGCCTTCCCAGTTGGGTTGCTAAGCAGTAGTACTTATAAAATGTCAGGTATGTGTTTGCTGGTTGTGTGTCATCTCATTAAATCTTCGTAAGAAATTCATGGAGGAAGACATTGTTATCACTTGCTGGACAAAATCTATTCTATGTTCTAAAAAAACTAAAAATAACATGTCCAAGTACTTACCTCAAACTCAAGCTTGAGAAAATGTTGACACGAAATTTTGAAAGCAAGAATGTAGAGGCTTATGTATACATACTTAGTTTTTTGTCAGTGAACAGTCTGTACAGAGTCACCTCAGTAAACCTCTCCTGGGTGTCTTCTAGAGACAATCTTTCTTTACTAATGAGCTGTACCTGTGGTCACACACTGCACACATCTCTACTTTGCCAGCATATCCTCTGCTTTTCCAGAATTCTCCTCCCTGTGACTGAATCAAGAACCATAATTTTTGAAATTTGACTTCTTTTCTTCTATAACCAAGAATGAATCATGCTTTTTATTTCATAGTTCTCCTTCCTCAGCAATTTACACATTTTAAAAAAAGCTGAACTAAAGTGAATGCACCCAAGATCACACAGATGCTTTGTGTGATTAGCAAGTTAATATGAATAAAGACCCACCTGACACTGACCTACTAGTCTAATCCTCGAGTGCTGAAGGAACAAGTGAGAAGTACTTTGTGAGTATATTACCGATATAATATATCAATATAACAAGCAGAATACCGATCTACACAGAAATAAACATTTTGTAAAATACAGCATAAAGCAAAGCATGCTAAATAAGATCTTACTTTCTTCTTAGGGGGTTTCTGTATCTCGAAGAACATTAAAAGTTCCAGTAAGTACTAAAAGATGTAAGGAGAGAGCAAGCATCACCGTGGTGATTGATGTAAGAAACTGAATGTCTGAATGGTACCCTCCAGTGCACAGAACATTACATGATGAAATGACCAGTGTATTAGTATCTATTTTGAAACTACAAAAGCAGACTCTGAAATTAAGCCACCTAAGAATTCCAAGCCACTTCATTTGTTTTTGTGACCCTTTGAAAATTATATTATAAACATATTAGTATTTTTTGAAAACCCAAAAACGTAGTTGCTTTTATCACAAATAAATATATTGGTGTTAGCCATTCTCCTCAATCTAATTTCATTGTTATGTTCAACTAGCAAGTTTAGACACTCAAAATGAGCATGGTAAATTCTTCTAAGCAGTTATGTAAGACACATCAGATTTGAATGCACATACGCTGGTTTTACAGGTAGAATGTATACATACTACATATCTTTACCCCAAATCTGGAAATCCCGGCAGACAACCTACCTAACACAAAGAAAGGGTCTTCACTGATACACATAGGGACTACAGATACTAAACCTATTTCTTGAAGATATCCTTTAACTGGTAAACTTTAGAATGAGGAGATCCAACAACTGCTGTGTGCTCAACTGTATTTTATAATGTCTCTGACTGTTTCTTCTGTTGCTATCATTCATGATTAAAATTGGATTGAATATAATTCTTTTTTTTTCTTTTTTTTGGTTCTTCGAGACAAAGTTTCTCTGTAGTTTTAGAGTCTATGCTGAAACTAGCTCTTGTAGACCAGACTGGCTTCGAACTCACAGAGATCTGCCTGCCTCTGCCTCCCAAGAGCTGGGATTAAAGGCAAGTGCCACCACTGCCCAGCTGAATATAATTCTTTTGTCTAAGACATATTTCATTATCCCAAAATTATCTTTTCACTCAATAGAATAAAATTGTATGTTTTACACTAATGGATCCAATGCTGACTTGTTTATACATAATATATGTAAGGTTTAAGACTCAAAAAAGGAATATGAAAAGTCTTAAGGGTCTGGAAAGATGATTTAGTGGATAAGATCATGGGTTTCTCTTCCAGAGGACCTGGGTTCTACTCCCAACCCACATTGTAACTCAAACCATCCATAATTCCAATCCCAGGGGATCTGACAATTTCTTTGGACATAAAATGCATGTGGTACACATACATACTTGCAACCAAAACACCCATATACATAAAAATAAATACATTAAAACAAAAAGTCAAATTTAAAAAGTTTTAAGTAATAGAAGATTAAAATGGAATTTAATTGAAACTCTGACTTCAAATAAAAGCAAAATTTGGTAACAATAAAGGTAAAATGACAAAGGACAGGGATGGTAGCTAAGGAATAGAGTATTACATAGCAGAGAAAAATAACATCTTGTAATTTGCAGTAAAATGAATGGATCTAGAAAACATCATATTGAGTGAGGTAACCCAGACCCAGAAAGACAAATAACATATGTAGTCATTCATAAGTTGTTTACAGACATAAAACAAAGAAAATCCATTCTACAATTCACAATTCCAGAGAACCTAGACAACCATGAAGACCCTAGGAGAAATATACATGGATCTAAATTACATGGGAAGTAGAAAAAAAAAGACAAGATCTCCTGAGTAATTTGGGAGCATGGGGACCATGTGAGAGGGTAGAGGGAAGGGGAGATAAAGTGAGGAGAGCAGAGAAACTGTATAGCTCAATAAAAACATTTTTTAAAAATGGATAGAGTATTTACCTACATTCCTGATGCCCTCAGTTTAGCCTGTAATACCACAAAAGAAAGAAAGAAAGAAAGAAAGAAAGAAAGAAAGAAAGAAAGAAAGAAAGAAAGACAGAAAGACAGAAAGACAGAAAGACAGAAAGAAAGAACAGAGGTAGGGAGGGAAGGAAGGAAGGAAGGAAGGAAGGAAGGAAGGAAGGAAGGAAGGAAGGAAGGAAG